CAGGTAGCAACGCCCAGATGCAATGATTAATGCTTCCCACCTGCGCGTAAGCCATATGCTGGCTAGTTTTAGTACATACTCTTCGCCATGTCACAAGACGGAAAGTTGGTGTGTGGACAGAGCACAGGGTTGATTGCTTCAGTTCATGTGACGAGTGGAATTGTTCCACGGAAAAAAGGCAACGCTCAGCTCGCGAAGCTTCGAAGCTTTACACCACGCTCACAAACCAAGATTCGGGTTCCCTACACACACAATCGAGCCCTTCGTGCAGATGCTTGTGTAGCGTCAACCAACCCGTCCGACGCCAGCCAACACGACCGCAACCTTGTTGCACAAGCCTTCAACTGCCCTCCAAGGGCTCGTAACAAGCTATGTAACGTCTTCCACCTGAGCTGTACCATTACGGCCACGGACGGTGCTCAGGGGGCCTGAGGGCGCTTATTTGCAAGCATGCGGCAAGCACACCCAGACTCCCAGCTACATATTATTCCCTGTCCTCGCCTCCCCCAGTTGTGCCTGTGTCTTTGCACTGATCCCTGTTCAAGAGCCGTAGCCCTCCATAGATGGATGGGGTCGTGGCCCCTACTTTTATACTCACCTCATCCCGCATGACTCTCAGCTTAAGCGCAAGCCGTCCCAATAAATTCTCCCGTTCCCTCAGCAGCCTGTAGCTACTGTGTGAGCTAATCCCCTTCAGCACCTTTATCAGGGCAGCAAGCAAGAACCAGTCAACTGCAAGGGTGAAATACAATACCCTTAAAACAATGCAAGCTACGCAGGCAACACCGTATCGAAATTCCTGACAGACACCATCATTTGCAGAAGCACCAGGGCCCCTGTGGAGGACGTGGCAAATCGTCCATCACGCAGTACAACAGTATTGCCACTGTCATGTACACCTCACACAGCAACCGGCTTTGGCTACATGCGTGCTGCGCGTTGGGTCCAATTGCACTTTCATCGAAGTCCTCTGCGTCGTTAGTCCACAGACCTAGGCAACTAGCAAGAATGACCATACGTCGAATGTTCAACTGTTCCAGTTCAGCAATGGATCCTGCTCAGCCATCTGCTGGAGCAGGCTCAGCTCTGTGCACATATCTAACGCACCGTCTGTTCCACGACGCACACGCGCTGCATCCTTGGTCTAGTTTGGTACGGGACGATACCAAAGATTGGACAGGAGTGTCTTGAGTATCGTGTCGCTTCCGGCTGCGCGGCCTGAGCACAACCGGAAACGACACAATACTCAAGACGCTCCTGGCCAACCGCTTGGGGCTGTTTCTGAAACACCCGGCGCCTACACATACACACACGCACCATACACCCTCGCGCATACTGCACAACACAAACAACTTTGCACGGCAACTTTGCCGTCGACACCATGCAGCGAACCTGGCACTGCCACATCCATTTCCCTGACCGACGCCACCTCACCAGCAAAAGAGTGGAACGGGTCCGCTGTGGCAACAGCCACAGCGGACCCGTTCCACTCTTTTGCTAAACCCTTCGGCATGCAGTCCACCGATCTGCCATTGCCTTGACCACTCCACAACTGCCAATAACGAATCCACCGGCTAGCAACTCGAACCCACCGCCAGCCGGGCATATTCTGCCCTTTCGAACCAATTGGACTTTCCTGGTACAACCTCAAGCACTGCCGTAGACAGCATACTACACCTTCACACCTTACGACTCCAACTGTCCTATGACATGCACCACTGCAGAAATACCCATCTCCGCGCCATAGCCCTCCACATACACTCCCGTGTCACCCATTGGGCCTTACATATCCCATGGCACACGCAGCTAATCCACCACCCTTCTCATCCTCACTTGACTTTCCTTCTCCTTAACATTTCCCCGAACCTCCGACACTTGACGACACCGCTATCTCACAGCCCTAGGCGAAAACCAACAACCACCATCGTATGTCGCATATCCACACATCCGCCAATCCAGCACTGCATCAGGCTCAGCTATCGACAACACAGCTCCCCACTTCTGAAACTTCTTTTAAGCACATCCTGCTGGACGGCATGCTCATGGCGACACTCCAGCATTCGCTGCACAACATCCAGGCACTGCATCCGAAAACACCAGCGACTGTTGTGAACGTTGAAATCGTACAGTAGGCACCGGAGCTTTTTTGTTGTGTGCTAGGCTGCCCACGAGGAACCCATTTTTATCCAGCTGTATTATATGTAGGCACAGCTCCATCAGCAATCACAAGCGTGCTGATGCTTGCGCAAGCATTCACAATGTGTGCACAAATTTGTACTGAACACAGTTAGGCACCGTACGCGGCAGCCGTATGTGAGGTGCGTCTCTAGATGACATTCACTTATGTTGCAAGGAAAAACAATAGTACTGGGGAAGTACTGGAAGGCTCAGGCTTATTCAGATCACACACCTAAACTTTATTTTAAAGGTCTCATGGAGTGCCATTCTGTTTTGCGTAGATGCAGCGATATTGGAGTCGACATATATGTGAATGAGACAGAGACCCACGGGGCATATCCTCCCGTACGCAAGTACCTGTACGCATGTGAGCACTGCACTTGTGCAGCCCCCCATAACTTCTCAGGAAATGCGATGTGCTGCCATGCTGACCGCACCCACGAAGGGACCCTTACGTACAGGCCTTGCCTCTCCACGAATTCAATCTGCAGTGACCGATTTCTGATCTCAGGCGACCCTGAACGATAGTCTGCTTAAACAACACGTGATTCTCCGAAATTCGCCACTGTCGTTGGCAGCTTGTAGCTAGCTGTCGCTCTCCTACTCCGGTGCTCGCAACTCTTTGCTACACCCAATAAAGACTAAATTTTAAGCATATGAGACAACGCCCGCTCACCAATGCATGCAGGCCTGTAGACAGCGAAGCACCCGCCTCACTGACCTACACCGGCTGATCTTTGCCAGCAGCCCCAGCAGCCCTGATGCACCGTCGTCAAGCCTCTGGCCATGCCATCGAACAACCCTTCCACTGTCCTGCACGCGTGTCTAGCAACCTGTACGGAACGCCTGCACACCACGGTGACCGATACGTAGGGTGCACACCCTGCTTACCGGTCCCTTGTCCGTCCACCCTCCAGCGCTACTAGCACAGATAGCTCCAGCTCCTTCACGGTGCACAGCCACAAAAAGCAACACGAATTGTAGTAATAGAATGCGCGCGGTAGCCCTCCACACGCACTGCCGTGGCGGTCCTGGTCAGTTCACTGGTGCAAGGCAACATACACTCAAGACAATATCCTTGTCAAACATATTGAATAGTCCTTCTTGTTAGCGTTTATCAAGACCCTCAATGCACCTACAGTTGAAGGCTGCCGTGGGCGAAAGCAAAAAGCCCCCGTACGCCAAAAATCGAACAATTCGACCGTTCGAGAGTGGGCTGCCTAAGGCTCAAGCGTGTAGAGCAGAGTGTCGTGTTTGCTGCGCATCCAATGCACCCCCACGACAAGAGCTGAATGTGCACCCCCTTTCAAGCCGACAGTGAGCAGTCAATATACGGAACGCACTGCACCAAAGAGGCAAATGCGCCCTTTCATCGTCTGCCCAAGCTCCTGCCCATTTAGCGGGGTCAACCAGCGTGTATTCAACATGAATACGCCTCCTGGTCCTGGGCACAGCAATGACCGCCGTTTCTAAACTGTCTGCTGATGTTGTGGACCAAGAGGCAACTGAAAAGGAACAACCCAAACGGTTGTACTTATCGGCCTTCTTTCACAAGCTTTGCATTCCACCTGCAGATAGTTTTCCGCACGTAAGTGCGGAAAACTATCTGCCCCCGCTGCACACGTAAGTACCCACCAGTGCACTGCGATCACCCTTCAGGGCAACTAAGTGAGGAAGCCAAAGGCTCTACAAACACGAAGCAGGCAACATATCAATGACTGCATTTCCCCTGGAATGCAAGCTACATCTGGAGGGGATATACAACCTTTCCAAAGCTATTGGCTCATGCTCTGCAGCGCCAGCAACATGCCAGCATCCCGGTATTTCCGCTAGCTTAGCTGTTCTTGTCAGAAAGACGTAGGCAATGGTGACCAGCCAGCCAAGTATATACTACTAGCGTCCGAACCGTCGGCATAGGTTCCTAGCAGCTTGCACCACTTCGCTGGCCTGGGTCACAGCGCGATACACACGGCAGACCCGTATATGCTCGAGATATAGTGCTTTGGCAGGCCCTGCAACTGTTTAGTGAACCGTCTCCGTCGGCGAATTGACTCGGAGTGTCACACGAAAATGTTGTGTGCAAACAGCGCCGATGCTTCACTGCTGTTCTGTCTTAATTATTGCTACCGCAAACGCATTACGGCTGTCAGGATATTGCGAGAGTAATCCTGTTCGCGCAAAACTCGTTCAATTGGACTGTGATGTAATGTGTCCACACCGTGACGGTTACTGCACCAGTGTGGTAATGTTACTCAGGTCCATCAATACTACCCTCCCAAGTAGTCACTGTTGGACGTAAACTGGTAACCTGAGCTCTCCACACAAGGAGACTCGGCACAATCCTCCCGCTGAACCGCCTTGCCCATCCTTCAACTTCGCAAGAATGTACAACGACGGATTATAAGGAGAAATACAAAATGCCAGTCCCACCATCAAGTTATTGTCGTACAAAGCCCTTTGTGCCAACCCTCGGGCAGAGAAGCCCAAAGCAACAGGGAAACCGTACTAGCTCGTTAGTGTTCTTTGTCCGACTACTTACGGGGCATTCCTCGTCGCCACCCTCTGCAAGCCTTCGTGATTGTACCCCATGCTCATGGTTAGCTTTACGGGACCTCAGTACGATGAAACAGAGCATGACAAGGTAAGCCACACCCAACGATATCAACAACGAGGAGAGTACAGTGAGGCGCAACCTGTGGCGCCGCGCTGTGCCGGCCAATGTATCGCCATTAAGGACAACATTCGGCTGATTTTCGGCTAAATTGTCGATCGAAGGTACGGCGAATTCACCGTGTAGCACCTGTAGGCCGCCCATTGCCACTGCAACAGGAAGTAATGATACGGCAATGAGCAAGGCAGAGAGGGACATTTTTGCTGAACAGGACAAGTGCACTTTTCCTCCGTTACGCGAAGAATACGAACATAAACGTCAGGGCGAGGCGAACGTATCGAACGATAGGTTTTTCAAGCAGGTTCTCCTGGAAGCTTGAGTTCGATGGAAGCCTAGCGAGTACTGCGAGCTCCTGGCGAGATACCCCGCAGAGCTTTGCACTGTAGCCATGCGATGGAAAGGCCCAAGCGTTTGCACGTTGCTGAAAACTACAGGCTGTTTTCATACGAGGCTTTTTACATACTTTTTTGTGCTGTACGTCCAACCCTCTGGCATTTTCAGTGGAGCTGTTCAACAATTTTACTGAGGACTTCTTGCCTGTAGTCTTGTACATGGTAGCCGAGTGTAACAGTCCTGGATTTTATCCGAGGACTATGGCGAGCTTGCCTGGTGCCAAAATGCGTATATGCTGAGAGTGCCTCTGTTGCTAAAGACCTCCCTCAGTCTCCAGGCATCCTGAGCTTGGCGGCTGAACTTGGCGAGAGGAGGCACCCTGCCATTCGTTGGAACGCAGATTGCTGCAACTAACTTACAGGCGAAGGCACGCCTGTTTGGCTGTCCTTCCGAGCAGTGTAGATCATTGTTGAAAGCATTTGACTGGGTACTGTTTTTGTTCTACTTTTTAACTGCAGAGAGGCCTACCAGCATCGCACAGACTATGCAACACGATGCGAGCAAGGCAACCCCTTCAAATTATCAAACGACTATCAGTAGATGTACTGTGGCCGAGCAACTCATGGTAGGGGCAATCGCCAGCCTTCCATTCTCCACGCTTCCTGTGCAGAGCGCCTATATTGCAGGTCCCGGATCTCACTTGGATCATTGTAGGTACTGGCTCTGCTACAGCTGGTAATTGCCCACGGATGATAGTTCAGCTAATGCAGCGGACCTCCTGCTCCAGTCTGCAGGCGTTCTGACGCTTGTCACGGCGAAAGTAGGTGGTACATTGCCGCGCACGGTGACCAAAAGCTTAGGCGCCCCTTGTGTTGCGGAACAATTTAAGGGCAATTAGGAGCTCGCCAATTGTCTGCTGCATTGTTAGTGCAATAGAAGCCGACGGAGCAAGAATTGCATATGGTTGTTCGCAATGAGTAGCTAATAGCAAACGATCTTCAGGAATATATCAGCTTGCCCTTCACCTAGCCATTTAAAGTATTCTTTCCTCTTTCCTAAACCATTAAGTGTCAGTGTTAAGGTCCTGGCCTCCTCTGGGTGGGACTCCTTACCACGACGTTGCTGACTCTGGCGGTGAAGCTCCAGAGCATTTCATGATACACTAAACCCTAAATCATCGACATGATGCCATCTCCAAGTTGAGCATAAGTCAACAATGTATGTCAGCGCACTGACACAATAACCGATAGCAAGAGGTCCTGCATAGCGAACAACGAATCTTCGGTGCTCGCCTTTCTGCCGGCTTCCCAGGGCTTGCAAAGGCACCGACGCCAAACATGTGCGGTTGATTGTGACTGTGAAGCCGCGTTTGTCTTCGCTTCTAGCCTATCGTCCCTATGCTATCCCATATATTCCCGTGATGCTGCTAGCTGCTTGGGGAAGGCAGAAGTTGTAGGCGCACGGCGCATACTTCCAAAAAATATAACTCCGAGCTGGGCGGCAATATTTCTGTGTACAATGGGGATACAATATAGCAACGAGTTGAAGATTGCACTGCTGTATTGTGAAGCCATTCAGAAAATGAGGAAATTATAACAATCTGAGGAATTACGCTGAATACGCTGAATACTGAGGTGCAAATAATGAACCAGCGGGCGGTTGACAGATTTTGTTTGAAAATCTGCCCCAGGATGGCTGGCAGTGGTGACGCCATCTTCCACCCTAATCCGTTCGAAGAACTCGAGCCAAAAGGCCCCAAGGAACTTCGGATCCCTGTCAGTAGGGATACTAAACGGAAAAGCATGAAGATACCGTATATAATCAGTTATTAGTTGAACAGCACCCTCTGCTGGCACAGAGCAGAGCCTGGCCTGATGCGGACTGTGTGGCTCTTATTTTTCCTACTTCTGACACATGAACATGTATTCGTTGACTCACTGGTGCATCCTAGTCAAGCAAAAGGCCTGGAGACTTGTTTCACTATTGTACTGGTCGATTCATGCCCTGCAAAAGAACGGTGATCCTTTTTGCGTCGAATATATGTATGAAGTGAATCTGGAGTGTATAGTGGTTGGCGTCCGTCCTTCTTCCGGTGCCTCAAAGCCTCCAAAGGGTTCACTGCTGCTTCGCCAGCGGCCCGTCGCTAAGCCCAGCGATACTTGCACGCACATCGCAGAAGTAGGAGTATGGCGATTTTGAAGGCAAATGGGAATCATCACTCACATCCGCAGGAGCAGTAGACAGTTCCTACCCGGCGGCACAGCGGGAGTGTGCACCAACGGCACTTTTTGATGTCCTCTATATGTTTCACCGCGAAGTGATGCCGTCCGAGCCCGCAGAGCCATAGTTTAACTCTTACATTGTCGTGGCCTCGTAAAATCTTCTTCCAGTACGTTGGATTTTGATGGTCGCTGCGAACAGAGATATGCCGGCCATAAAAGTAATGCAACCACCTTTTTACTTACTACAAACCAGCGTAGAACTCTGGCTCACATTCCGGGCACTTCTTCTCCTTCGGTGGAACAATATGACTAGCCGATGGTGAGTTGGTGGGGGTTCCGTTTACTGGCTTGGTGAGGGTGCAGAACCCAACTGTTCTGTCACTCGCGTAGTCTGTTAGGTTGTTAAGAGGTCGAACTGTCGATATCAGGACTTGCGAGTACTCGATACAACGCCCATTGTTGGATAAGCCCTCTGGCGGCGTGATACTACCTTTTCTACCCAAATAGAGTGCTTAGATTACTGTGTAGAAGGACTAAAGATGTGCCGATGTTGGCGAAACTAGTGATGACGTTGTGGTACTATTTCCCAGCTCCGACGAATTTCTGAACTTTCGTATCAGTGTCAAATTGCAGCCAGCACCTCAGAATAGTCCTTTTCTCAATCAAATTGGGTTTCTCTACCTCTCTCGAGACATCAAAGCAAGTGATTAATTGTTTGCAGAAAAAGCAAACACTGTTGTGCGTTCACAAGCTAAAAGATACTCGTGTAGCTGTTGCACAGCATGGCATACGTATTGGATGCACTCCTACACTATCCCACTGAACACAGGCACGTCATCAATGTATATAACTATCCATCTGTAGCTGGCTGGGCCTAAGCAGTCCGAATTGACCAGTCAATACCTGTCCGACAGATACATTCACGAGCCAAATTCGCAGATACGTGATCTTCAACGCGCCTGTGCGGATATGAAATGCAGCATTTTTGCCTATTATCGGGATGGTTTGGGCAATGTAAGAAAGCGTCAACCCAGCCACGTACTTTTGCTTCACTGGTGTGATGTTGGCTCGCTGGAAGGCGGCGAAAACCCGCTAGTTACCATTTGTGGTTCGCGCTAAAACTGGATTCTGTCTAAATGCACTAGTTGGCCAGGCTTTGCTTGGAGTTGCCATTTCATGTGCTTCCAGCTCAATTTCCTTGTCGAGGCAAAAGGGCCGGTGGCGGCTTGAAGCAAAACTTGTTAAGGCATTGCGGATGAGGTCGATGGGGAGAATTAAGCCCCCGCAGTGTAGATGGCCCGTCGTCAGCACACTGGTATTTATTGTCTCTGATAAATATTCTTTGAATTGTGCCGGATTCTGCTGTTTCTCTTGTCGCAAGTGTGATGACACATGCAAGCCTGAGGTGTTCAGACGACCTTCACGACGAAGTCATGCATTGCTTTGCCGTCATCCAGAGCTGCTCCGCACTGCGTAGAAGTCACTTCGCTCTTTCCACCTTGTGCCAATGCCTTCTGTCATCAGAGGTAGATGACGACATGTCGTTGGAGTTTCCTAGACTATCCGCTTGCATTCCAGCACTTGCAGCTCAATGGTATCAGGCGGAAGCAGCTGCCCCGTTCACTGGGGCACCCACAGCATGCCTAGGATTATGTCATGCTGAACCATTCCACCGTGGACGCGCAAATGCGTTCACGTCTGTGTGTCATAGGGCACACGCACTACAATGAGGTCCCCGGTTAGCCTCTGGCGAGTGATTTCGACATAAAGCTCAATACAGAGAATATTTAGTAGTATTAGTAGGAATTTTGCAGGGTGGAGATTCACGTAGTGTCAGCTGAGGGGCTGGACTGTCCACTACATCCTGTGTACCAATCGCAAAGCACAGCTGAGGAAGTGAGCCAGTGAATTGTTCGAGAGATCGAACCTTCTGAGAGTACCTTTATCGAATTAACTTCGCATTCTCTGTAGGGTACCTTTAGCAATTCCTGTGCATTGTAATGAACTTTTGTAGGCACGGAGAGGCTTTGGGGATAATCTGTAGTTCCGGCTGTCACCCCTTTCGTCCACATCCCTGCATCCTTTGAGAACAGTAGATCCGTGATGGCCTATTTGTTCAAGCGGCGGGGCTTATCAGCCGCTTGCTTCGCCAGCTTGACCTCCTTTTCCCTATCTCTGCAGTATCGTACTATGTAGCGTTTCTTGTTGCAAGGTAGGCACGTGCGCCGCTCGATACTTCCTCCACGCCCTCTCGCCCAGAATTCTGCTTGCTATCGGCTCCCATCTTCTTCTCTTTCTGGGAGGGGTGCGCAGTTACACCATCAACATCAATAGGGTCAATATGCGTATCGTTTCCAAACAAGGCTCTCTTCTCACTCATTATGGCGGAAGGTGATGGAGGTTTCTCTCACTAGATTGCTCATGTATTCCATCACCGTGTTACGTCAGCTCTGCCCCTTCTTACTTCCATATCGGCTACCGGGAAGGCCACAAATTGCCCTTCACCCGGGGATGTGCCTTGGGTTTAATAGCTGATACAGAAGTTCCGGGTGCATCGTTCAGTTTCTTTCTAGCAGCTTTATATCAAGAGGTATGAGACACCGATGGAAAGAAATCCAAGATCTAGTGATAGGTTCGCTAGCC